GGCGTTTGGTGGGTTTTGCCAATCAATTCTTTAGGCACAGAAAAGTTGGTTCGTTTGGCACCCTTCTTTGGCGGCCGGCGAGGGGGGTCATGAGGACGCTTCGGAGGCCGATCTGGCTTGTCATCATCCCTGCCTTGCCCTGATGAAGACGCACCTGCCGGCAAAGGAAGAAGGTGATAAGTAACACTCGGATCAAGCAAAATGGTTGGCAGCTGTGCATCCAATGGCAACACCCCGGTCCCACTCCGACGTAGGGACGTGATGTTCTCCGCGATCTTGAGAAACGCAGCTCGGTCAGCACGGAGCACCTGAGCAGTGGACACCTTGGAATACCCCGGCGGCGGGGCTTCTTGCAGGCGCTGAATCAAAGCCTGATGGTAACGGTTTGCCACGTCGTAGCTGAGGATCCCTACCAAGTCGAAGGCAAGGGCCCTTCGGCGAAGAGCAGACACCAAATCGAGCTCAGAATGAATTATGCAGTTGTGAACTGACGGCTTGTCTTTGATAGCCACACCGCCGCCGTCAATCACGAGCTCCTTGCCTGCCTTCTTAGCCCCAATTTCGGCCCTTCGAGTACCAAACTTCTCAGGCGCAAGCCACACAAGCTCATTTTTCTGAGCCATGGCAAAGACAAGATCATAGGCTCCATGAGCCACTTCTTCCTCACCTTGAAAGGTGAGGCCTCCAAGTCGCGCCTTTTGGCTAGCCAAGCGATCATCCCTCTCCGCACTGTCCAGAGAGGCTGGGACAACATCGTCCGTCTTTTCAACTCGCTGCTTTAGCGCTGACACCACCAACGTATGAGCCTCGAAGAGCAAACGTTTGAGGCCTGCGACGGCCCCTTGAGTAGCTCCTGCAGGCAGGAGGCCAACCACAGCATCCTCCTCTGGCACCCGACCTGGGGGGACTAAGACGAAAGCCAACTTTGACAATGTGTCCACATGCTGGCCGATCAGGTGGTCGACCTCGTCCTGAGACAGTCCAACTTCCAGCGCCCTTTTAGTAAAGGCAGCCTTTGACTCAGTGAAAGCGGTGGCCACAGGGACAGTTGCCATGGCTGCCAATACTATCAAAGAAATTTATCGGAAAAGACAGTCTCTCAATGCAAACTATTCAAATCTCTCGGCCGTGGCCTGACTGAAACAAACTCGAAACACTCCCGCGCAACTCAAATGTGGAATTTGAACATCAGCCAGCAGCGACACCACGGCTGACATGTATGGCGGAAGTCGACTTCGCTCTTGCACATCGCAGGAGAGACCTCTCCAAGCACACATATGGCAAGGAACATTCCCTTTGTGATCTCACAGCTCCGGCATCAGCGTCGGTGAAATTCACTATAGGCAGAGAA